CAAAATAAGTATACAACTAGCTACTTATACAACTTTTGGTTATCTATTTTAAGTAGTCCATCTAAAGGTTCTATACTAGTTGTCATATTTATAATCTACTAGGAAATTATCTATTTAAATACTCTGATCTTTTATATTTACATTAGTCAAATAGCTTCAAGGCTCCTGTATACCTTGGTGCTGTCTAACCTGATATATGACCTCACTTGTTGTATATTTGTCATGCTGTTACACATTTCAAAACATGTCACCTAACTGTAAGGCCCACAGTGCCTTTTTGTTAACTAATCTAATTATTTTTTATTATAGAAAATTAACAGAGCATGCTTTTGCAAAGCTTACTCAGACCTCAGTACCAACTTTATAGCATATTTTTAGTACTTATAGTATACTCCTGCTTTGATCTTAGACTTTCAATCCAGATAGCTCAGTAGAACTGTGACCTGTTTTGATATATCAAGTCTGGCCTAATATTCTTTTTCTCCAGTCCTATTTCCAGCAGCCTGGTTGGTAGTATCCTCACCTAGAGGTTTTTGTCTACCCGATTCATTCATATTGGTATCTATTTTTTAGGTCTAGCTTTTATAGTAATACTATCAAAGCTCTGTATTACTTCTTTATTCAAGTCTTTCAAGTAGGCTCCAGTTTTTTTAGTTCTATAGATTTACACAACTAAAGAACTTATCTTGGGTTTGCACCACCTAGTACCAGTTTGCATCACTCTGTGTAACCAAGATTACACAGATGCCCCTGATCTGCCAGTCATGCTGCTACAACTATAGTTACAGATATCCTATTTCAACTGATCAAAAGAATGCCATTGCCATAATATGAATATTGTATAGATGATTATTCAAATTTTGCTATCTGTAGGTTTTGAACTCACAACCTACTACTTAGAGAATTGATAACCTTACCACTTTACTAGGTCACCACATCTAATTAAATAATATAGTAATTAATATACTAATAGTGAATTGTATTAATAATTAGTATCTATAAAAATCTTGAATTGTGTTCTAGTTAAAGTTTTAATAAAATATTTAAAATCTATTTTAAAGCTAGTTTATTTTTAGTTATAGGTTTAGTAATTTTTTTGATATAAAATCAATAAGATAATACTTAATAAAATTCAAAGATTTGTTGAAATAATAGAGTATTAAAATTAATAAATAGTTTTATTTTATTAATAACAGAAAATTTTTAAATCAATTAAGAAGGTTTTCTTATTTTTATTATAAAATTTTAAGTTTTGTTTTTTGTTTAGTTACTTTTTTGTTTTTAATAAATTGGATAAAGTTAAGTTTTGGCATATTTATTTATAAGAAAAAATTTAGTAATAAGATAAGCAGATTATTATTGTTAGTTGAGTTTAGTTTAGATTACTGACTTCAATTTAAGATTTAAAATATAAATAGAATAAGTAAAAAAATTTATATAAAATTTTAACAAAAAAGTTCAAAGAATATTTGTTGAAGCTAAAAAAACACAAAATATTAGACAATACAAATATGAGTATATTGTGTTTAAAGTTTTAATAGTTATAATATTATAGTATTAAATTTAATATCTATAATAGTTAATAAAATAGTTTTAAATAAGCTGTTATAATTAAAAAAAATAATAGTAATCTGATAACAGGTAATTAAGAGATAGCATTTTTAGTTTTTTTTAAATTAATTTAGAATTTTATTTATAGAAATAGTATAACTAAAAGTTAAAAAAAGTGTTATAAATCTGGAAAGAAGTTAATAATAATAAAAAGTAAATAAAATATAATAGGTTTTACAAAAACATTAAATAACAAAAGGTTAATAGAATGCTTTAAAGTAATAAAATTTGTTTTTTTTATAATATTTAGTTAGATGCACAATAAATTGAATAGGTTTAATTTATTATAAATTGCTTTTTTTAATTATAATATCAAAATAGTCATTATATTTGGCTAAAAAATAATCTTAGTTAAATTGATCTAGTTCTTAATTAATAAATATAAACATCATTGCTTCAGATTTAAATATTAATTTAATATAATAATTTCTAAGTTCAGATAGATTTAAATAATATAAAATGTAACAAATAAAAAATCTAACAAATAAGAAAATGTAAAAAATAAGAGAATATGACAAATAAGAGAATGTGATAACTTAGTAAAGTTAATAACCTTCAAATAGTAGTTTAGGTGTTTAAATTCTAGCAATAGTAAAAATTTAAATAATTACTTATATAATATTTATATTACAGCAACTGTTTTCAATAATTGAATTAAGATACTTGTAATAATAGTCATACTAATATGATTAGCAGATCACAGAGCATTTATGTAAATATGGTATTATACAGAGAAATACAAACTAGCATCAGATAGTGCAAACTAATATAAGTTTTTGTGTCTGTTAAATTTATTAAAATTAGAAAACAAAAAGTCTATTTAGAAAGACCTAAGTAAAGAGGTAGCATAGACTTTCTATACTGCTACTATAAAGACTAGTCTTAGAAAATAGATACCAATATCAAAGTATTCAGATAACAAAAACTACTAGGTTAAAAGTCTTAAAATACTAAAACCAGGCTGCTAAAACAGATCAAAAAAAAAAGATATTATGCCAATCTGATATACTAATAGACTTATCATAATTCTATTAAGCTATCCGGATTAGAAGTCTGAAGAATAAATAAAAGTATACTAAAGTAATTCAATATGCTGTGAAGTAGATGTTAGGATCTGAGTAAACTTTATAAAGACATAGTAATTTAATGATTAGCTCTAATCACAAGTATTAGTCCTGCTATAACAATATTAAATTAGTTGTAAAAATAAGTACAGAAGACTTTAGTAGGTTTATCTTAAAGATAAAATAGTTCTAAGATTAAAATAATAACCTGAGTATGACTTAGTAATATTAATACAAGTGCAGATTCAGAGTGTTTAAAATAAAATACCTATGCAGAGGTGTTAATTATTGCAATTAAAAATAAATTTTTAGGCAATTCCTTAAATAAGTAATATAGAAAGGTTATATATAACTAATTGTATATTTTTTCTGTAATGGTTTATAGAATTATATTACCAAAAGGGTTATTAATAAAAATTAAAAGACCAAGAAGGTTGTCTTATAAAAAAAATATATTACAAATAAGAAATATAACAAATAAAAAAGTATAATAGATAAAAAGAAATATCAATTAAATGTATTACAAGTAGTAGGTAATATATTATAGATCTATTAGTAAATCAAGAACAATGTTAACTAAATTTGTATAAATCTAAAAAGCATACAAATTTGTAATTAAATTATATTAAAAATAGATTGTATAATATAAATTAGTAATTTTGTTTAAGCAAATTTAAACAAAAATAGACTAAAAAACCTTTTTCTACCAAAAAAAATAAAAAAATAAAAAAATAAAAAATAAAAAAGTTTTCAAGCATTTTGTTAATAAATTAGTCAATTTTAATTTAATTTTAATAAATAATATATTAAAATAAAGCTATTATTAAGCTTTTTTTGCTTGTTTTAATAAGCTAAACAATGTGTTTAATAAATTTCTAAAATAAATTAAATAAAAAAGTTTTGGTATTTAATTAATATATTTTTTTAGATAAAAAACTTAGAAATATAAAACTTGGCTATTTAAATATAAATCATATCAAAAACAACTTTATTTAGATACTTAGAAGTAGTTTACTTAATAAAATAATAAGTAATAATTAGTTTTGTATTAATGAAAATAAGTACATGTAATTAATGAAAAAGTTAATAATTTTTATATCTTTATATAATGAAATTAATAATACTTATTGTTAGATCTACTAATATAATAAAAATAAAATACTAGGCATTATATAAGAGTGAATATAGCAATCAATTTATTAATATAAATAGTCTAGTGATTAATTGCACTAATTTAATTAATTAAATATATTAAGAAAGAAAATATAATGGCAAAAAAAATTTAATGATTATAAAAGTTTAGATAAATAAATTAGAAAGATTAAATAAAATATAAAAAATAAAAAAGCAAGATTAATATATATAATTAGATAAGTTAAAATTAGAAAGTAAATATAAATAAAGGCTAAAATAGCTTTTAGAAATAATTATATTTTGTTTGCTTTATTAAAATGAACAAGTTTAAAATATATTGTATTAACTTTAATAAAATACTAATATTATACTTAGTATAAACCTTGTAAAATCTATAAACATTATTGTTTAATCAAGTTCTTGATTATATAACTTACTTGATTGAACTTCATTAATTTAAAGTAACTAAAGCCTTAATTATCTACTAGCCAAATTTAATATTCTTTTTGTAAAAGTTATTATAATATATTAGAAAGATTTTGGATTGTAAATAACAAAGTTAAAGTTTTCTAAACTCAATATTATAGATAAACAGTTAGTAATTATAATTTTTTTAAAAATTTAAAAATTTTACTTATATATATATAAATTAAGCTTTTAAATTTATATTTTATATAGAAATCTTTTTATAATACTATAATGCTATAGTATTAAAGCATTAAAACTAATTAAAATTTAAGCTTAAATATAATATAAAAAAGTAGTTTTATGTAATAAAATAAATATTTTTTTAAAATTTGATTATAGCTTAAAATTTTTTTATAAGTCTACTTTTTAAGTTTTAATAAAAAAAATTTTCCACAAAATTTTATTATAAACCTTATTTAACTCTAACTTTTATATTTTACTCTTATTTTAATATTAAAAAAAATTAAATTTTGTTTATTTTAATTTAGAAAATTTCTTAGCATACACAGTGTGTATTGTACACAGATTATGTAATTATAAAATATAAATTTATGCAGCATAAATAAGGCATGTATTATATACTAATTACATAATTATATAGTTATGATTAATCATATACATATGTACATATGTATGTTCAGTCTGTCATAACTCGTGATTTGTATGTTGAATAAATACTAATGTGCCATTTAACTTAACTCTTCTTCACTTCGAAGCTAACATATGATTTTAGTTAGTGAATATTGTTTTGCTACTGTGCCTACCTTTTTTTATTTTATTTTGTTACTTTTAGTTATAGCATTTCACAATTTTAAGGGCACTTTGATTTGAATACAGTGTATCAACATATTATCCACACCTGCAAAAATGGTAAGTTTGTAATTATTCATTGCGTAGCATGACTCAGTATTGGTTTAAGGGCATATTTTTTTTTGTTATTAGGATGATACTTATTCCAGTAGTTCAATTGATAATTATTTTTCAAGACTAGTTGAATTTAATGATGAAAGTTTTTTATCTAGTTCTTTAACATCTGTGAATTAGCCTTATTTTGTTGAAATTACAGAATTGCAGAATGTCAATGCTTTAAATTCACATATGCTGATGATACAACCTTATTTTGAGAATGGAATTCTAGAGTCACAAGGCTGCTTACTAGATGTTTTGCCTTAAATGCCTGTTAGCCAACTTTATTTAGAGGATAAAACTAAAGAGTTAAAAGATTTTTCATATCAATCTAGTTATAAGATTTTAGAAGATTATTATAAAGAGAATTATGAGGATAAAATATCAGAATCACTAACTAATTTTTTAGATTAGCAAGATGAGGTTTTAGAATCACAAGATCCAGCCCGTGAATTCTCATTAAGTATACATTTAGTTGACGTGACTGATAATGACAATCTGCCTCTGAATATACAAAGTAATACTGATGATATAATATGCATGAAAATGAACTTGGGAATAAATACTTATTAGAATTGGTTCAAGGTCTCTTATTTTCAAATTGGCAACTTTTTAAAATTTGGATTGAACAATTTGCAAAACAAGAAGGGTTTAGTTACAAGATTCAAACTAGTGAAACATACAATAGTGTAGTTCGAAGAGCAGTATATGTATGTACCAAAACCGTATATACAATTCACAGGTGACATCTGATCCTATTAAGCATTGTAATGTTACATCTCAATGGACTGAATGTCCTTGGAAATTGAATGTCACATACTCTAAAAAAAGTTCAATAATAAAAATCAATTCTTTTGTTAATACTCATAATCATTCACTTTCTTCTATGATTGGTGAGACAGTACACAGTTTCACAAACTAACATCCAAGATGTTAAGTGACATTGAAAAATATGTAATCCAGGGCAAAATAGATTCCAGATCTATATACCCTTACTTCAGTATGACTATCCCAGCACCCTTTGCATAAACATGACTTGTATAATGCTGTGTACAATATTAGGCAAAAAAATAACCCAGGTAATTTAGATGCATCATTAATGTTACAAACTTTATTAAATTGGAAAATGAAAATTCACTATGGATTGTCAAACCATAACTAGAAATGAAATCAAGAATTTAAATTCATTAATTTGGATGTCTCTTGAACAAAGGAATCTTTATGAAAAGTTTCACAATGTTATTATACTTGATACTACTGCAAATACAAATCGGTTCCAAATGATGCTCTGTGTTATCACCATAATTGATAACCATTTTAAAACAAGGATCATTGCTTGTGCTCTTATCGAGGATGAAACTTTAGAAACTTTTTAGTGGATTTGTGAAACTTTATTTAATGAAACAGGCATTTCTCCAGGAGTAATCTTTAGTGACTCTGATCCTGCTATGATTAGTGCTATTAAAAATATATATCATAATAGTCAACATCTATTATGTATCTTTCATATTGATTTAAATATATGTAAAAAGCTTAAAGGAAAGTTGAGTACTCAGTTTGAAATGTTTCGTAAAAAATTCTATGCTTGTAGAAATTCATTATGTGAAGAGTTATTTGAACATCAATAAACTCAATTACTTGATCAGTATCTCTTAGCAGCTGAGTATCTATCAAATACTCTTTATACTGTTAAAGAATCTTGGTCTGTTCCATGAATTTGTAAGCAATTTACAGCTAGTATGCAAAGCACTCAGTGAATTGAAACATTAAATAGACATATACATGACAAAGCTGATCATGCTACCTCTTTATGTGATTTATTAAATTGTATTAATGATCATGTTAAAAATGAAGAACATTGGGAAAAGTTTGAAGTTGAATGAAACTCATTACTAATGACTAGTTTGCTGATGTTAAATACTGTGTTTTTAAAAAAGGTTGATGACATTATTAAACAGTATTTGACCTCTATTATACTTGGTAAGCAATGATTAGAGATGAATTGATCAGTATGTTACAATGTTATATGCATTACAGAATAGCAACAGTTAATAGAGGTATAATACTAACTATTTTTTTTTTTTTTTTTGCAATAAACATTCATCTTATTTATATATAGATGAAAGCTGATAACGGAGAAATCAACAATGAAATTAGAGAATATAAAAATGATACTCATCAAATCCTTCTTAAATCTCTTGTCGAAAATATATCACAGAAGGCAATTTTAGAAGTTTGGAATGCACATACTACTGGTTTAACTGGAATCAGACATTATGTTATATTACTCAATGAAGATACTCATCTATGTACCTGCCTTCTTCTAATTAATAAGAGGTTGGTATGTCAACACTTCTTTCATATAGAAACTTATTCTCAATATGCTACTTTTCATATCTTTCTTATTTCGGCTTGTTGGTATTTGAATTGTAATATTACACGAGATGATCTTTTACAACAAATTCCTTCTATCCTAATATGCAAATTTCAACTTAAAAACACTGCACTATCTGTAAATAATGCTACTTTTCAACATTTTTTCTCTACTCTGCCTATGCTATCTAAACCCAAATTAGTATCCAACAAAACGATCTATGCAGAATTATTTGGATTATCTAAAAAAGTGATTGACTTGACTATTAAAGCTGATATGCAAAAGAAACTATCAAATACACTCAAGATTTTTCATAATGATACTCAAGACAGAATAGATGAAAATCAACTGAATGATAATGCCACTGACATGAATAATCCTAATATTACTAGACACAAAGAAAGGCCTCCAAAAATGCTCAAATCAAGTGTTAAATATAATGGAAAAAAAGTTTTAAGGAAAAGCACAGGTGCTCATTTAATGAATAATAATACTTCAAGTATTATAGAGGAGGACATAAATCATAGTAAGGGCCGTAAATGTGGAAAATGCAAACAATATGCCCATTATGCAAAGATATGCTAGTTTTAATTATTTTAAGAATTGTTATTATGTTAAGCTTTATTTTAAGTGCCTGTTGTCATGCTATATCCCTATAAAAAATTTTTAGTCATTATATTCTGATTGCAATTAGGTATTTTAGTAATATTCCGATTATATTCCAATTAACGATCTTAAAATTATTGTATAAATTATTGTTACAAAATGTATTCAGAAAATATTCCAAAAACATCTTGTATTTGAATTAGAAAATTCTAATAATAAAATGTATTTCAGAAAAACCACACGCAATAATCTGATTTTATATTTATATATAAATTAAAGTTTTTAATAATAGAGTATATTCTGGAAAAACTATAGAAATTAGTCTGATTTTATATTTATACCAAAATTAAAAAAATTTAATTCTAGAAATACTGAAAAAGTAATCCGGTTTTATATTTAGAAAATTTTATCAATAAAAACTTGGTTATTTAATTTTAAAAATAAATATATTAGGAAAACGCCTATAGTAGTTTTGCATCTATTATATGTTTTATATAATTTTCTTTATATAATAGTTAGTATTTAGTGCTATAATT